TATTGTACAAGTAACCTTGTATTTCGCAAAATCATTTCACACTTACCTATGTGATTCTACTGTCAATATAATACTTACCATTATTGTCTGTCCCAAAAATCAGAAAGGAAAAGAATCCTTTCATCTCATGAAGTTTTTTTAAAACAGTGGTTAACTGCCTTCTGCCTTAGATTGTAACCCAACTATATCCCTTAATAAGATTCACTACCCTGGGGAAGAACTCTTTTCCCATGCAGCTTTCTAACTGAGATATTAATTCTGCCTGTCACTCAAAGAGATGAACAAAGCAACCATAATAATATACACACGGGTTATTTTAAGAATTTCATAATGCATATAATATATTTTGGTCAGATCCACCCTACAGCCCCTCTTCCCTAATGTCTCCCCTTCCCCACCAATATTTCTTGCTCTCAACACCCAAATCCACTTGTTCTCCATGAGTCAAGTTATTACTGTCTCTACACTTATGGGTTTAGAGATATCTATCTGATTACAGACAACCGTTTAGGTACCACATCCCTGAATAAAATGCATGCCTCATTCCCCAGCAGCCATCTTTTGCCAATAGTGTCTCAGAAAGGGTTGGGCTTCATGAATCTCTCCCTGTTGCATACTGACAGTTAAGTTGGCTTGAGCTTTTCCAATTCTTATACATGCAGTGCAAGCTGCTGTGTTAATGTTGCTACCATCTGCACAAAGGTCCCTTAGCTTTGAGATGTGTGGGTGTGATATAGGTATCTCATTTAGTGCTGATTACTCCACATTCCCTTATTTCATGCATGTTTCCATCTTTGGAAGTGTTTAGCAATTAGTATCCAATACAAATAAGAGTCCCTGTGATGATGAGAAAGGAATGCATTAATCTAATTGATTTTGAGCCTCTACCATTTTGTAACCATCAAATAATGTGACCTTTAAAAACATCAACATAGTATGACTTTATATGATTTATGAATTAAGTTAGATTTTTTTAAAAAATGGCTTTAATAAAAGATTAATTTTATTTTCCTGTCACTGAAAAAAAGAGGTATCACATATTTAGGATTATTCTGACAGCTATGTCATCTTCAGCCCGAGTCTTCATTCTTTATGTCTTGTGGTCCAGTCAGTCCTCTTTATTTTCCACATTATAAAAGTGGTCAAGAGTGATGGGTGGTAATATATGTGTCAATTATGCCTTTTGTGTGTAAAAATGACAAGTAGCATGCAGAATATCTATACACATTCCTTCAATAAATTTAGTCACAAAACCATAGCAAGCAGAGTTTCTTAAAGATCAATTTTTCTCACTACCCCCCAGAGAACCACAGAAGACAATTTCTGTCTTTACCATCCTCAGTTTATCAAATCTAAAGTTCCAGAAAGTGACTGAACAACAGTCTTAATCAGTGATCAGATTAAGTTAACTTGAGTGGTTCTTTCTCACTTAATAATGATTATAAATACAGAATGCATATGTATAACCTGTATGTAAACATAATTGTATTGAAAATAGTTCAAAAACACAATGGAAGAGAATGCTTAATATAGTCTAAGGAGTATTCTATATTAGTAAAATACTAATTTGTAAACACAGAGACAAGTATATTAGAGATGCAACCCATAGACACATTGAAAGTTATCAATATGAAAAAGTTATATATTTTCCCAATTGTGAGTTCTATCATTTGTGATTTATTTTATTTAGTTATACCCACTAAAATAGATCTTTAACACTATACTTATTGCAGTTATACAGACTGTAATATTTAATGATTCTAAACATATTTTATAAGATATTTCTAACACTTGTATATATCTTTGATTAGAGTATATATTCAACTACTATGCATGTCTATTCATTATGGATTTTCTTCTGTACCAAAGAGTTGGGGGAAATATTATTATGTGAAAATTCCCCTTGACAGATTATTTTCAAATGCTTCCCAGTCTGTAACAAATGTTATTTTCTAAACCAGTTTTCTAAGTTTTGCTGAAATACAGTTAAATCATTTCCTTTTATTGATTTCACTTTAGATAACAGTTTATAATTTTTCCTCTTTCTCTTTATCCACAGATTAAGCTTTAATATTTAAGTGTATTGTCATTTTACTGTGCAGTAGTATATGTTTATGGTCTTATGAATGCTTTTATTCTATTTTATGTTACAGTCGGCTAAAAAGTATTCCTTAATTATAAAACACAAATGCAAAAGTAAATAATACATTAAGAACATTTAAATGAGATCATTTTTATTTTTTATTTAACAGCTCTTTCCAACAATTTTATACATATATGCAATGTACTGTGATCATATTACTTCCATTTTTCACTCTTACCCCTAAAGCAGATGCTATTTTTATGTCATTCTTTAACCATTGAATTTAATTTGACTGTTTGTCTGCACATGCACTGAAGGTCATTTGCTGAGCAGGGGCAATTTACCAATGGCAGTTTCACTTCAGAAACAGACACAACCCCCTCCAAAACAAGTTGCAAATTTGGAAATCTTGGATGGGATAAATGAAAATTTATGGTTACATTGATCAATGTTCAATTTCCCCATGCAGAACAGTTCCATGGCTGTAGTAACTCTTAGTCAGGGTTAAAAGAATGAATGCGAGGGGGATGGGGGAAGGGCGGGCGGTCCCCGCTGGAGACCCAATCTCACCTGAAGCTGGACTAGCTGGGGTTGGGGTCTTGGAGGGGCTGATGTCTTCCTGTGTGGGCGGCTAAAACATCCCTATACAATAAAGGAACTTCAGGAAGCATCACCATACCTGACTTCAAGCTCTATTATAGAGCTATAGTCCTGAAAACAACTTGGTATTGGCACAAAAATAGGCAGGTAGACCAATGGAACCGAATTGAAAGCTCTAATTTTAACCCACACACCTATGAACACTTGATTTTTGACAAAGAAGCTAAAACTGAACAATGGAAAAAAGAAAGCATCTTCAACAAATGGTGCTGGCATAACTGGGTACTGGTATGCAGAAGACTGCAGATAGATCCATGTTTATCGCCTTGTACAAAACTTAAGTCCAAATGGATCAAAGATCTCAACATAAATCCAGCCACACTGAAACTTTTAGAAGAGAAAGTGGGAGATACTCTTCAACGAGTTGGTACAGGAGACCACTTCCTAAACATAACACCAGTGGCACAGGCACTGAGATCGATGATTAACAAATGGGACCTTGTGAAACTCAAAAGCTTCTGTAAGGCAAAGGACACAATCAAAAAGACAAAAAGGCAGGCCACAGAATGGGAAAAGATATTCACTAACCCTACATCTGACAGAGGGCTAATCTCCAAAATTTACAAAGAACTCAAGAAACAAGTCTCCAAAACACCAAAGGATCCAATTAAAAGGTGGGGTACAGATCTAAATAGAGAATTCTCAGTAGAGGAGGCTAAAATGGCCAAGAGACACTTAAGAAAGTGCTCAACATCCTTAGCCATCAGGGAAATGCAAATCAAAACAACTCTGAGATACCATCTTACTCCTGTCAGAATGGCTAAAATCAAAAACAACAAAGACAATTTATGCTGGAGAGGATGTAGAGAGAGAGGAATACTCCTCCACTGCTGGTGGGAGTGCCGACTCATACAGCCTCTTTGGAAATCAGTATGGCGATTCCTCAGGAAAATGGGAATTAATCTACCACAAGACCCAGCAATTCCACTCTTAGGCATATATCCAAATGAGGCAAGTTCATACAACAAGGGCATCTGCTCCACTATGTTCATAGCAGCATTATTTGTAATAGCCAGAACCTGGAAGCAATCTAGATGCCCCTCAACTGAAGAGTGGATAGAGAAAATGTGGTACATTTACACAATGGAGTATTACTCAGCAGAAAAAAACTAATGGAATCTTGAAATTCGCAGGGAAATGGATAGCACAAGACAAGATCCTCTGAATGGATGGCGAACACGGCGAGGAGTGGGGGGGAGTGGGACCTGGGAAGAAGAGAGCGGGTGAAAAGGAAGAGAGTTGGTCATGGGGGAGAAGGAAGTTGGATTTTAGATAAAAAGGGAAAAAGCACTAGCAGCAGCAACAACAGCACAGCTTCATACTAAAGGAACCTAGTGTAACAGTAATAAAGGAGAAAAAAATAAGTGCAAAAATATTTTGTATGTTTATAGTGCCATGTTATACAATAAAGTGATCTCATACTGCTTAGAGGAAAGGATGTAGGTCTCTGCTTTCCCTTTGGTATTATTATGGAAGTTTCTAATAGGAACTGAGGCTGCAAAATTTGTAGACTTTTTTTAAAACCTTTTAGTAAAGTCCATGAGGATTTGCTGGTTATTTGCTCCTCACTTACATACTTACTTACTCAACAAGCATTCATTATTCTATTTTTGTAAGTAGTTATTGCTCTATATCCTTCAGAGTCATAGAAGACTGTCAGAAGACTGTCATAGGTAGGATGGAATAATTATGTATTAACTTTAAAATATATACATCAAATTTGAATTTGTTTTTAAAACAGTATTATTTTTCTTCTGAGATGGTTTACTGAGAATGGTCTTGCCTAATTCACACCTAAGTAGAATAAACTACACAAGAAAATTTAAGTTTGAAAAAAGTTCATTATAAAATGGAAGTGATTCCCTTCTCAATATGAGGATAAAATATTTCAAAATGCGTGAGGTACTGGCAATGCAAGAAAATTAAATACTCAGATGCTAACTCATGGTCCTACTCTTGGGGAATCAGCTTTCTCAATGCATCTGTCACCTTCTTGTTCCTATGGCTGTATATCACATCTGTATATACACACTAACTCATGTGTGAGTGAACACACATGAACACACATGCTTAAACAGGCATATGTACTTTCAAAAAATAGTGGACTATAGCATTTGGAGACCAATTTTCCTATTAGCACTAAAATCCTAATTTCATCAATAAATTTAAATAAATGTCTAATGAAATGAGATTTTTCATATGACATAATTTTTGAAAAGTAAAATCAACCTCTATGAGAATGGTGGGCTACTTTAAATAGGTTTTTAAAAGCATATTTTATTTTTCAGTTTATTCAGAGCTTCTTTCACATCCTTGTTCCTCAGGCTATAAATCAGAGGGTTCAGCATGGGAATCACAAGGATATAAAACAGTGAGCTCATTTTGTCTTGATCCAGGGAATAAGAAGAACTTGGCCTGAAATACATGAAGAGCACAGTTCCTTGGAAAATTGCAACTGCAGTCAGGTGAGAGGCACAGGTGGAGAAAGCTTTGAACCTCCCCTCAGCAGAGTGGATCTTCAAGACTGATGAGATGATGTAACAATAGGAGACAAGGACTCCTGAGATGGTGCTCAGCTCAATAAACCCAAAAATTGTGAATATTGCTAATTCATTGACTTGTGTGTCTGAGCAAGAGAGTAGTAAGATTGGAGGGATATCACAAAAGAAATGATCTATTTCATTAGACCCACAGAAACATAAACGGAATGTCAATGTTGTATGTATTAAAGAGTCTGCCACACCTAAAAGATAAACCCCAGTCATGAGCAAGGAGCAGAGCCTGTTAGACATGTTCACTGTGTAGAGTAAGGGGTTGTTGATGGCTTGATACCGGTCAAAGGCCATCACAGCCAGCAGTATGCATTCAGAATCCACAAATGTACAGGAAATGAAGAATTGCAGGGCACAGCCAAAAAAAGGAATTGACTTGTCATTGCCAAATATGTCCATTAGCATCTTGGGCCCAACTGCCGTGGAATAGCAGAGGTCACAGAAAGAGAGGTTACTGAGGAAAAAGTACATAGGAGTTTGAAGCTGGGGATCCACTTTAATTAAAAAAATCATTCCAAGATTTCCCACAAGGTTGATGAGATAGACCAGCAGAAATATTGTAAACAGAATTACTTTTACCTCAGAGTTGTTGGTAATTCCCATTAATATGAATTCAGAAAAGGAAGAGCAATTTTCCCTCTCCATTCTTCTTTGCATTCAGAAACTGTTTAGAAATTGTTCAAGAGGATGATAAATGTATATTTTGCGTTCTGAGTATCAACTGTGTACCTGTAAGACAGAACATGATCGGTTTCCCATGTTATTATTATTCTGTAAGAGAGTTATAAGTCAGTTTAAAGATGCATTGCTTTTTAGTTGAAAGATTTAAGAACAAACATCTCAACTAGTCTGTTTAGAAAATTTGATCACATTTGCTTGATATTCATGAAGATTGTTACTTCCTACAAGTTCCCTAATTTCTGTGAGTCATGTTTCCTTGCCATCAGGGTATATTTAACTGAAAGAAGCATTTTAAATTCAAACAGAAATCAAACAACTCTGTCATTACAGACAGTGTAACAGAACTTATGTGCTTTTGAGTATGTGTGTGACACAGAAAGGATGTCATTATATCCCTACAATATCATGTTGGCTTTGAAAAGGATTTTCTATCAGTTTTAGAAGTGTAGACTAGGTTAATGAATAATCTTTTTTAACCTGTTTTGTTTTATTTAAATTAGAAACAAAACTTGCTTCACATATCAATCCCAGCTCCCTTTCACTCCCCTCCTCCCCTGCCACCCATCCTCTCTTACAGACCACCCAATCCCAACTCCACTCTCCAGGGCGGCTGAGGCACTTCATGGGTGATCTCCATAGGCTTCTGTGTTACTGTACATGATTCAGGTTTCCTTATTACCTGTTCTCAATAGTCAAGGGTCTCCTACTCACAGGTAGGTATTATTACCAAAGGTATACATTATATAAACAGAACTACAACAACAAAAAACATCATTTATTATTCATTTACCTTAAGCTTAATATTAAAATTGACTATTATCCACAATATTGGAAATCAACAAAGGTCTAGGGATTTCACTACTACATGCCCAACAGATATCTATCTCATACACACCAGCAACTGAAAGAGCTCATTAACACCTTCTTCCTCTGAAAGTAGTGCATGTGAAGCAGAAAGGGAAGGAAGACCTAGTTTAATGTGCTCTTTTCCTCTGCTCTCTGGTGGCTCCTCATATTAACTGTTCAGTCCAGTGCATTGTCTCCTATAGAACCAGTATGGGACTTCTCCAACAGTATTTATCAGAACTTAGAGTCCTGGATAGCATTGGAGAACATTATATTGATATGCCACTCTATAGGAGTAAATAGAGAACTTATGCGACTGCATGTGTGTGAGCACAGGACAGATCCAGGAAATTGACAGACCCTGATAAACATTCCATTCAGAATTGATATATCATTAAATAACTTCTAAAACCTCTGGAAATTAGATTATTTGCAAAAAAGAAATATTTCTGGCATATATAGGATCTCTCTGTATCCTTGTCTGTGTCTGTGCCTGTCTCTGTCCCTATCTCTTTCTCTCTCTGCATCTGTTTCTCTCTCTGTCTCTTTTTCTCTTCCTCATGTGTGTATGTACTTTTTTTTCCTGTGGCTGGATGTATCTCTTTTGCTCATGGTGATAATGTGAAAGTTGAAATGTGAGTAAAAAGCATTTGAAGCCAGGCGGTGGTGGCCCACGCCTTTAATCCCAGCACTCGGGAGGCAGAGGCAGGCAGATCTCTGTGAGTTCGAGGCTGGACTGGACCAACAGCCTCGAAAACAATACAGAGAAACCCTGTCTCGTAAAAACAAAAACAAACAAACAAAAAAAAGGCATTTGAGAGATGTTCTAGACCTAACAATCATGGCAAGATGCTCACATGGAATTCAATTTGAACATGTTAACATTACTCACTTTTAACATAAATAGTCCATTAAGTTCATGCACATTCACACAATTACAAAAGAAATAAAATTGTCATGTATAATTTAACCCTGTTCCTTCTATTCTTCCGAATCTCTGCAAGTACATATTATTAGCCATTAAATATTAAAATACATGAACTAAATGAATTAAGTAACAAAGCAAAAATGACTAAGTTACAAATTCTATTTTTAATGAAGGTGACTTTTAGGGCATTTATCTTATGTGTTTAGAGCTGAAGATTTAGAACTAACCTTAGATGAGCAGGTCTCTGCCAGGTGAATGCAAAGAAGGTAGCATTTTATCTTGCCAGTTGGCATTTGGGACTGCAGATTCTGAAGACATTCCCTCAGGCTTTGGTGTGATTAATTACAATTCTGGGTCTGGATTTATGCCATGAGTCCAGGGCTAATTCTTTTTTATGGTAACCAAACTAATCTACATTGGGAGGAAACTCTTACATAGCTATAAAAAATAATCTAAAATTCAAAATAGAAATTTAACCAAAGTCAGTTACCACTCTCTACATACCTTTCTGTACTATTACATACTTTCATCTTTCTAGTTTTACACCATTTCAGGAATATGTCGACTTTGACACAATTATTTTATAAAAATGACATATAGTGTAGCATTTACCCCTTTAAAGCAAAAACTTATTTGGTTTTCGATGTACTCATTAGTTGTGTAGTCACCAACACTATCTAATTATAGAAAGTTCATAAAATTTCTGTTGATGAGCATCTTCTTATCTAGGACAGAGTATAAATTATAACTATGAAACATATAGCTTATTGCAGTAGACATTGTTTTCATGTAAACTGTATTTGCATGCATCAGAATATCTTTTATTTTAAGGCTAAATTCTACACACTTGTGTGAATGCACACACATACAAATTGATTCACTGTTGGACATTCATTTTATTGGAGCTTTCTGGCTACTCTCTGGCTATTTTAATGATTCATTATCATATCATGAATGCCAATACCAATGTCAGGGGTTAATTATATACTTGGCATTGCATGATCATTTGTGTGTGTGTGTGTGTGTGTGATTCTCCTGGTTTGTGAATTTGGTTTTTTTCCTTTGACTTGCATTTGAGACCACAGGAGGACATTAGATATTTTTCTAGCATTCTCTACTTCATTCTCTTGGTGAAGTGTCTCTAACTTCATCCAGAGCTTACCATTTGTGGCTAATCTGGCTGCATAGTGAACTCTGAGGACTATTTGCAGCTGCCCCACTATGTCAGAGTTATAGAAACAATTTTTTCTTTTGTTAATTAATTTTTAATTTTAAATTAAAAACAATCTTATTTTACATACCAATCCCAGTTCCCTCACCCTCCCATCCTCCTATTCCCCCATCATCTCTCCATCCCACCCTCATCTACTTCTTAAGGAGGGTGAGGCCTCTCATGGGGATTCATAAAATTCTGTCACATCATTTGGGTAGGACTGAGGAACTTACAAGTTTTTAAGTGATGCTGGAGGTTCAAAGTAAGGTCTTCATGCTTGAAGAATAAACACTTTTAACCTCACAGGCTCCAGCAGTGTCATGTTCTTATCTCCCAATGAAATGAACCCCAGAACATTAATTTAATGAAATATGTTCTATATACTTAGTACACTCCTTCCTAAATTTTTAATTTTCAGCTAAAAGCATAATACTGTCTTAGTCACTGTTCTATTGTGAAGAGACATCAAGACCATGGTAGCTTTTATTTTAAAATAAAACACATTTAATTAGGGTTTGCTTATAGATTCAGATAATTAGTTCATTATTATCATTTCAGAGATCATGGTGTCATGCAGGCAGGCACTGGAGTCATAGCTGTGTACTACATTCTGATGCATAGGCAGAGAGAGAATTAAGAAACTGAGCCCAGAATGGGGTTTTGAAAACTTGAAGCCCACACACAGTAATACCCTTCCTCCAAGAAGGCTTGCCTACTCCAACAAAGCCACACCTACAAATATTCTAATTTCTCTCCAGTAGTGTCACTCCCTTATGGCTAAGCATTTAAATGTTTAAGCTTATTGGAGCCTTTCTTTTTATTTATTCATTTAAATTTGAAACAAACTTCTTTTGCATGTCAATCCCAGTTTCCTCTCCCTCTCCTCCTCCTCTAACCCCACTGACTCCCTATTCCATCCCCTTTCTGTTTCCCAGGGAGGGTGAGGCCTTCCATGGGGGGGATCTTCAAAGTCTGTCATATCATTTGGAGCAGGTCCTAGACCCTCCCCTGTGTGTCTAGGATGAGAGAGTATCTCTCCATGTGGATTAGGCTTCCAAAGTCCTTTCATGGGCTAGGAACAAACAGAGGCCCTATAGATTAACCAGACCTCCAAATTGACATCCTCATTCAGGGGGTCTGGAACAGTCCTATGCTGGTTTCCAAGCTATCAGTGTGGGGTACACAAGCAATCCAGTGTTCAGGTCAGTTTTTTCTGTGGGTTTCTCCAGCCTGGTCTTGACCCCTTTGCTCATCACTCCTCTCTTTCTGCAACTGGATCCCAGAGTTAAGCTCAGTGTTTACCTGTGGGTGTCTGCTTCTGTTCCATCAGCTACTGAATGAAGGCTCTAGTATGCATATAAGGTAGCCATCAATCTCATTATTGGAGAAAGACTTTTAAAGTAGCCTCTCAAATGATTGCTTAGATTGTTAGTTGGGGTCAACCATGTAGAGCCATTCTTACTCAAACCACCACAAAGACTTACACAGAACGTAATTGTCTAGTTTTTTATTGTATGAATATTTTAGTTTGAATATTTCAAAAATATTTGCTGAAATGTATTAACTAGTTTAATTTAACTGAAGTTTATAATAAAGAGAAAAAGTAGAAATGGACTGGGCTTGGGAAATGTTTCTCTAAGGAACTTATTCTACACAAAATCAATTCAAGTCTGTGAAAACGCAAACCATGATCTTGGGACTCTGTCAAAATTAAGCATTACAGTGCACTACAAGGATGTACAGATCCAGTGGTGACTTTGCAAGTCAGGAACAGAAGGAGTCGAGAATGGGTCTGTACCCTCAGTGATTAGAGGGCTTTCCATCAGACTCCTCAAATGACTTGTAGCAGTTTCCAACATGAATGCCCTATAGCTTAAGCCTCTGCTATTTTACCTTTAAACTAAGTCCATCTAAACATGTGCATTGTTGCCTAGATCAATAGCTCATTGTTTGTATGTTAATTTGTTGTTTTTTCTTTCTTTATTCATT